ACATTTTGAGGGGAAAAAAAGACGTTTAAGTGCGCCTTATAGTCGTGAAAATACGGTAGTAAGGTTACACTCAAAGCCATTGTTTTTCCATTTTGGTAAGTTTTATGTCTTTGCTTGCAACAAAAATGGAACATAATTTACTCCATACCTTAAGAGGTGCAATATCATCTAAAGTTGATCCAGTTCAGGACTTCTGTGCACAATTATTAGGCCAGTGATCATCGTGATCATCGTTAAGCATGTTTTCTAACCTGAAAGCTGATTGGGTTTGATCATGTCAGACAGTGTGTGTTTGTGTAATGGGAGCGGCTGTTCCCTGAGGAGATCAACACCCTTAGTCAAGGTGTGCATAAGCATTAAGAAGCTTCTGTTCTCCAGGCAGAATGAGGCTAAAACAAATGAACTCGCTCTTAAAGGTCGAAAATGATCAAAAGTAACAGCATTGCCCCATTGCCGCCCTCAACCTGAACGCCTGTGAGGATTTTAAGGCCAGTAGATCCAGAGCGACGTTAAACTCGCCGTTTTTCAATATTCTCTTTAGAAAACCTAACTATTACTTTTTTTAAGCCAGCTTGGGTTCACTGAGACTTTTTGGGATTAACTGCGAACCCCAGCAGTTAACCGGTTTAGATTTGTCACTTTGTGACTCAGTAATATATATTCGAAGCAACAACACCCGTTCATTTAAATGATTGACTTTTTATGTAAGACCATTTTCAGACAATAGAAAACGACATAAAATCTCATGCCATCATTTTATAATTAATGACCAAGGAATGAATGTGAAGCAGTAAAGCAGAGCTTCCTTTTTTGCACGGTTTCCTGCATTAATGCGGTGTAGCATGGAGGCCGTCAGCCTGAGGTTCTGCTGAGGTTTGAAGGACATCCAGGTTGATTTAATCTCAGCCTTCAACTCATCTGCATTTAGAGAACAGCTCTTTACATCTTACTGGGGTTTAAGCATGTTTTGGTACTAGACTGTTTCCTTCCACTTAACTTTCCATAATCAACTTTTCTGTAAATAATTTTTTTATTTTTTTTTTTTATAGTTTTGCTCTTTTGCGTCAATCAGAAGCTGAATTCAGTGTCTTCATTACCCATAAGCCAATAAATAAACACTAGAATAGAGCCAATCTGTGTGTAACATGTCTGTTAATCCACTGGCACCCCTGTGTGATTGGATCTTTTCTCTGAGTGAACACTGCCCCCTACTGGAACTTTGCTCTACAATCTAACCTTAAGCCATTTTCACTTCAATTAACGGAATTAACAGTGTGTGTAGATGAGACATTAGGCCGCTAACAAGTCTAATCATATATTTCTTATTATAATGATGAATTTGTTATCCAGATTGTTAACTGAATTATTCAGACTCTGAAATGTGCCAAAAAAATATATGGTCAGATCAATAATCAAGCCAAAACTGCAGGGAAAAAATTTTCTATATATACACAAATGTATATATAAATGTACCGGTATATATAAATGTATTGCAATGTGAAATATGAAGAATTTAGTGATTGGAAACATGTCATGAAACATGTCTTCATTTCATAACATTTATCTCCATAATTTAATAAAGTCTATAGCCTTTATTAAAGTAATTAAGCTCTGGAAAACCTCACTTTTTTTTCCTGCTGAATAATTGGTTAGCTGGCGCTGCGCTGCCAACTAGTGGCTGGAGGTTTAAGGGTTGAGTAAAAGTAAGAAAATGACATGGATTTACTCCTATAAATATATTTTTTTTACATTTCAGATCCATTTGGCCGTATTTTTGAACAGATAACAATTTTTAGATTTTTGACTGAATCCATTTTTTTTCTTCAACCCCTTATATAAATGTTTATATATATAGATCTATATATACATTTATATAAGGGGTGTAAGAAAAAAAAATGGGCTGGGCAATATGGCTTAAAAAAAAACTTAAAACTTAAAAAAACTAATCTATGACTTCTTTCCCCTACCCAATTAAAACAATCTTCTAATTTTCAGGATAAAAATAACAAACTAGCTTTTATTTTAATTACCCTTGCTGGGAGGTCTTTTATGTATGTGTATATATTTATTCATATATATATATATATATATATAATCATGAGAGAGAAAGCTTCTTTTTTCCCCTCATCAGCTATGAGAAACTTTTTACCCCTAATTGTGAATCCAGTCATTTGAACAAATCTTTTGGAGACGAGTGAATAATCTTTGAAACAAACACAGCTGCAGCTCAAAGGCACTCAGCGACTCCTGCAGAACTATAATTCAATAGAGGAGATGGAGGACTGGATGAAATGAATCCAGCTGCAGCGTAAAGACATAGCAGAGCTGTGATGTCAGGAAAAGCAGCTGCCCCTACAGACTCTGCATCCCAGACTGAATAGAGCACTTTCCCTGCAGATCCTAAGTTTGTGCCTTTTCTCTTTCAGCGCCCTCCATGCCTCAGGATGTGCGGGCCTATTCTAACTCCTCCACTCAGCTGGTGGTCCGCTGGTCTCCTCCCGTCTCCCCCAACGGAAATCAGACTTACTATTGGGTGAAGTGGCAGCAACAAGCTGAAGACAAGGAGCTTTACCAGCATAACTACTGCTCAAAAGGTCTTCCCACACAACCGTTTACATCATTTATGGTGAATGTAACCCAATATGGCACTCATCCTTTGGTTTCCTCCCATCAGAGCTAAAGATCCCAATTAGGATTGCTGCCACGGGGATTGGAGACCAAGAGGAGGACACAAAGCCCACTAAACCGGATCCTGATGGAGCAGACAAAGGTCCTTGCTGCCCCTGCCCCAAATCAGCAGAAGATCTGGAGGCTGAAGCTGCAGACGCCTCCTACCGAAAAGTCTTTGAAAACTTTCTGCACAATTCAATTTTTACTCCAAGGTAACTTGCTTGTCTTCCCGATTTCATCCTAATTTTATTAGATGGGACTCCAGCTCTGTTGTTGCTGTACTTATATTCAGCGTTTGATTTTCTGGGGTTCAGAGCTGCAGCCTGGAACCAAAGACATCTGCGACACATTAAGTCTCTTGGTCTCCACACACAAGCATATGCACATGTAGATTAGCTTGGCATAAACAAACAGAGCAGTTGGATCTGCTCCCTTCTGAAGATCAACTTCAGGTGATGCATGACTCTGAGGATACACTTTCCTGTTTACCTTATCCTCAGTCTGGCTGTGTGTTCCAGCTGAAGCCCTGCTGTGGAAATCAGGCTCCACGTTTTGACTGGTTGAGCTTTTGTTTAAAGAGAAAAAGCAAATGGCGTCATTGTAAAATGTTGCCACTATTTAGTTTTTACAAAAAATAAACTTCTGTGAGCTTTTGTCTTAGTGTTTCAAGGATGTTTTTATCTGAATTGGCTCCCAAAAATAGACTGATCCACAGCTAAAGGATTGTTGTGAGAATGTGTTTCATCAATGGGAATAAAAAAAAAAAAAAAATGCAATCCTGAAAAAATGAAAGTTTGAAAATCTAATAAAAAATAGGTTTTAAGAATAAATTTGCTGTTTTCACAGTTTTCCCTTTTTTGTCTTTTAAATTTCTTTTTCTGATTCAGTTTTATGAACTGCATTCTTTTCAAATCGCATTCTCTTCACTTCTGGGGGCGGGCTCTCCCCAGACGCAATGACGCATTTCTATTGGTCTGTATTGACCTTAGAAACAGCATTTTTATTGGTTAAGAAGGAGTGTTTCTATTGGGCTGGAAGTGGAGAGAATGTGAGTTGAAAAGAAGGCAACATGTAAAACTCAACCAAAAAAAGAAATTTGCTATAAAAAAATTAAAACAAAAACTGTAAAAATGAAAAGAAGGAAAAAATTTATTGAAAAGATTTTTTTTTCTTTAATAAAAGGATAGCGTCTAGTTCTTAGTTGTGGTTGATAAATTAATTCATCTACTGCAACTAGAAATGCTTTGGGTGGTGTGCTGTTGGGTTTTGGCCTCCTAATAATCCGAGCCGTAACATTTTAAAGTGTTTTTTTTACCACTTTTTGGTTAAATGTAGATAGAAAGACTCACTGTAAACTCCACTATCTGTTTATTAAGTCCTGTAGCTCAGAGAATAGACTTCGAAATCATCCTGTTAGTTTAGAAATTACTAAATAGATCAGCATCTCAACCCATAACCGATCTGTTGTCAGTGTATCAACCTCCCAGACCATTCAGGTCTTCTAGTTCCAGTCTACTCTGTCCACCCAGAACTAGAACCAAACAAGGAGAAGCAGCATTTAGTTCCTGAGCTCCACTGATCTGGAACAAACTCCCAGAAGACTGAAAGCCTGAGTTCTTTTAAGTCAAAGTCAAAAAGTCATTTGTTTAGATCTACCTTTGATTGTTGAACTGCTAACTGGTATTATTAGTTTAAGGTTGTGGTCCAACTATTTTGCTTGTTTTTCACGTGTATTTTGTCCTTATTTGCTTTTATTCTGCTTTTATTTTTCTACTATTTTATTATCTAACTCCTTTAAAGCACTTTAAGTTGCCCCATGTACAGAATTGTGTCATACAAATAAACTTGCCTTGCCTCTAGAGTTTAAACAAAGTGAATTTATTTGGCTCGTCGATCGATGTACTCACCTTCGCCTCTATTATTGTCCCCTGTAGGCCTCAAGATCGGCGGCGCAGAGATCTTTTTGGCGTGGCCAACTTCACCCGAGCGCGACGCTTCCATCTTTATACCAACAGCACCGTGGTCCCCCCCCTTCAGGCCGCTGGTAACGGCAGCGTCTCTGTCCCCGAGCCCGCCGACCAAGAGTATATTATCATGGAGCAAACGGTGACCGAGCGCGAGCTGCAGATATCAGGCCTGGAGCCTTTCACGGTTTACCGCGTCGACATTCATGCCTGCAACAGCCAAGTTCACCAATGCAGCGCAGCTGAGTTCGTCTTCTCCAGGACCAAGCCAGCAGGTCAGAAGATGTAGATACAAACACCAAAGCTCACTGCAAGCACTCTGTGACTGACACTGGCTCACAGTTGCATCTTCTACCCTTTGGTTCCTCAGAAAAGGCTGATGACATCCCAGGCCCGGTTAACTGGGAGGGCCAAGAGGACTGGGTGTTCCTGCGCTGGCCGGAGCCCACGCGGCCAAACGGACTCATCCTCATGTACGAGATCAAGTTCAAGCAGGCGGGAGAGGTAGGTCTGGGAAAAATCAAACATCTCACGTTTTCATTAGAGCTGCAACAAACTATTATTTTGTTAATCGATTAACCTGTCAATTTCTTTTTCGATTAATCCATTAATAATCGGATAGCCAAAG